GTCTTGCATTTTATACTTCTCAATATTTTTTTAACCACTGCTTTCAAAATATACATTCTTAATATCCCGACAAAGGGTAGTGGATTAAAGAGAGAAATACCCTAAAATAATTCAGTGAAGACCTAATAAAAGATGCAATCTATCAAATCAGTGACAGCAGTAGTTTCTTTTAACATCAAATCTAATGGTTTCTTTTTCTAGTACAAAAGTGCTCTGTTAACAGTGTGAGTCTTTTATTTAGGTAATTCACACAAGTGGTTGCCAGATGTAGTTTATTTTCGGGAGGGCACACTTACAGAAGCAGCACACTGGGCCAGAGACAGAGTTATGTCTATCTGACGTACTCTCTAATGACTTTTCAGAGTGAAAATCCCAGTGAAACTGTGAAACTGAAACCCTCAAAATCAGATCTAAGTAGCACTTCACGTTTAAAATGATGGCTGGATATCAGGGCTGGTCTTTACAGAACCGTTGAGTACTCTCTGCTTCACCATCGCTCCTCAGTGCCCAGCGTTGCCTGGGCAGGCCTTCCTCTGCACAGCAGCCACTGCCTACTCTACCAGCCAGGCATGCCTCAGCCCTCATCCCTCATCCCTCCTGATGACCACACTCCAATCAAAACTCCCCGTTTTGAGCCCTCTTTCCCTCCAATGCTTCTTTTTTATTGGCTTCTCCAACCAACTCATGTTCACTAATATATTCACTGTGTACAATGACTGATAAGTTTCTACTTGGAGGGCCCATTAAGTAATGGACACTTTCTGAAGATGATTCCATTAACCCAGAGAAGCAGATAAAATGATGTCAAGTAGAGAGGGAATAAATGGAATTGTTTTCAAAGAGACTTGGCTTTGAATTCGGATTTGCTATGCATTAGCTAGTGCCTTTGGATATATTACCTAAATCCTAGGACACTCATGTCCTGTGTTGATGGAGGTGTGGGTATTAGTGCCTAAATTATATTTCTCCATTCAAAAATATGTATTGAAAATCTACTTTTTTTAAATGATCAGACCAGAGGAGAGAGATGAAAATGCCTAATACAGTGTCTGTCTGGAAGTAATTTTCCTAAAAGGTTATTAAAAAGGCAATGAAAAAATTTCTTGAAAGATGGTTTTGAGTATGTAAGATGTTTGTTCTTTGATTCATATCATAATCTAGCTGCTTACTCTGTTGTATGCAAAAAGTGATGTTGCCTTTGGGTGATGTAACTCTAAAGTGTTTCTAAAGATCTAGGGGCCGTTGAAAGTTGATTCTAATGAAATAAAATAGTCTATCCCAGAAAAAGTCCATTTAATATTAAGATGACAGGCAAGTGTCTTAAATTAAAGATGCTGTCTTATAAATGGATAATGGATAAGTGAATAGTTTCTCAAGTTAATAACAGAGGCAATATGATAATTCAGGAATATGAACTGTCCTAAGAGAAAGACAACTAGGGCTTAAGTCTTGGGTAGGTTACTTAATAGTTACATGCCCTAAGAAAAATCACTGAAACTTTCTATATTTTAATTTCTTTGTTTTAAAGTGTTTGGGTGCAGCAGGTTATCTCTAAGATTATTTACAGGTTCACAACCCTCACAAGCTCTTTTCTCATAGCATCTCACTGTAAAAACTGCCACTGCATGGGCTAGATTTGGGTCAAGACTTCATAAAACCCTTTTAGGCATTTCACCTTTTCTCCCTTTTTCTTCCTTCAACTTCTCGAACTCTCTCCATCAAATATCTTGTGTTGGGCAGGTCAGGCTATGAATAGAATTTACTTAATACAGGCCTTGCTGGAAAATTGCTTCTGTTAGGGATGCAGTAAACTACTTCGTTAGTACAACAAGAAAGAGAAGACTATTTCAGACACATGAGCAGGATGCTTCACAAAAATGGTTAAGGTAGGGTTTCTGAAACCAAGTACCATTGTGTTTAAGATAAGCAGAAGGGAGAAAAGCAGAGCCAAGCTATGTGTCTTGTCCAAAAATAAAGGTGAGGCAGATGTTTGGGATAGCAGTCAAGACGCTGCATGGGATGGCTAAATTTCATATTGGAGAGTCTGCTTGGAGCCCTGGCTATTCCAGTTTTGATCCAGCTGCCAGCTAACACACACCCTGGGAGGCAGCAGGTAATGGTTTAAGTACTTGGGTCTCTGCCACCCACTTGGGGGCACCTGGATTGAGTTCTAGGCTTCTGGCTTGAGCCTAGCCCAGCCCTGGCTTAATGGGGACATCGGGGGAGTGAACCAGCATAAGGAAGAAGTCTGTGTCTTTGTTTCTCTTTCTCTCTTTCAAATGAAGAGAAAATAAATAAATATAAAAATTTGTAGAAGGATTAAAGGCTACTAGTTACAAGAGTTCATAAAAAAAACTTTGTTAGCTACTTTAGGAGGACCTTAGGAAGATACTTCTAGTAACCTGACAAAGATGAGGAAATGCAGGATCCCATAATTTTAGTTTTACTACCTCAAATTACACTGTTAGGAAGTGGCCCTTGTTGCTTCAAAGCCAGGGATGTTCACCAATATATTCTATGGATTTTTTTTTTTTAGGAAACATATTTTTGGAATGAAATGAGAAATGAGTACTATTTGGTGGTCCCTTGAATATGATTGACAGGCACTGAGCAAATAAAAAGTAAACTAATTTGAAGTTGATTGGGAAGGACATGCCTTTCTATTTTTATACATCCCCCCTCCCTTTTGGTGGAGGGAAGGTTGCTTTACCTGCTGATTGGATTACAGTGAAGTGAAACATGGAATCTTATGCCTTTAGCATTTGGGGGTTTTCTAAAGTTAGGTAGTTGTGGATAATATGGAAAAATATATGGTAAAAAGCACTTTAAATTGGGAAAGAAAGTGTATGTGTGTGTTCAAGTATTATTTGAATGACTCACTGAGAAGATAGGTTAATGCATTCACTGAATTTTTCAATTGTTTAAAGAATAATCTACTCTTGCCTTGTGCCAGACTACAGGGGCTTTCCAACAGTCACATAAAAAATAAAATAAGATCTACCAAACTGTGTTGTCCTTGAACCTCTCTTCATACACTTGTTTAAAATTAATATACTTGAATAGAATAACCCACCTATCTGTGGCACCCAGTGGCTCGGAGCTATATATAATACATATTAATAAACTAGGGGAATGTGGTTCCTGCCACACTCGTTTTGTTTTTGTCCGCCTATGGTTTTCTTGCTGTCACAGGCTTCTTCGCAGATAATGAAAGGCAACACTAGACATACACACTCATCCCTGCCTCCCCTCCATCCTCTGTCCTGTCATCTCTGAGCAACACAACCTTCCATTAGTGTTCATTTTAATAAGCCAATGTCTGGGGTTTATAAGTGACAACTTTCAAATTAATGGGGACTCATGACAGTTCTTCAGAGAGGGGGCATCAACATGTTACTCTGTCAACATTAGGTTTTAATTAGCAAGGTCATTGCTAGTTCTACCCTCCCTGTTTTGGTGATATCTCTTTGATAATGGCACTATATGTTTTATCAGGAAGCTCATAGATAATGTCAATAGTGTCAACAAGGCAGTCAGTCAGAGCTAATCTCATCTGCACTTCCGCATAGATTTCCTCTCATCACAATTCAGCCTTCTGTGTGTGTCCTGCTTAGCGACTCAATGCCTACGTATCAGAAAGACTTATAAAGCTATTCTTAATTTATTTTTCTTCCTGCTTTTTCAGTTCAGTAGTTCAGAATTGTTCAGAAAAGGGAATTAAAGCATGGTACACAGTTTGGGCAAAAGTTACGGGGCAAGAAACCAGAAGACTCATTTGATGAAGAAAATCCATTTATAACAGGGGGCTTGGCAAGAGAATGAGTCAAGTCAGGGTCAAGTCTGTTTGCTGGGACTCAGCTGGACATCCACATTCTTTCCATGGATTTGAGAATGGATATCTGGAGTACTGAGCTTGGCTTTTGTTCTCCACATTCTACATAGCATTGTGGTTCCTTGATTGCTTTGGAAGCATCTGACCTTCAGCATTTTGGTGCCGCTCACACTATTATTGGTGGGATCTCTAAATTTCTTTGTCCACAGCCCCAAGCTCAGGTGTGGAGAGGCCTTATATTGATTACAACCTCTTGTTCTAAAACTCAGATCTGACTAGTGAGGGCAGGCTAGCTACTATAATAAGTGGAGGAAAAACCTAAAAGTTCAAAACAAGTTTCTCTTGCATGTGTCAGTCCAGGAAGGTGTTCCCAACACTGTCTTTCTTTCAGTATCATCCCGTAACACCAACTTCAACGTGTAACTATGAGCTATGAAAGGTAAACTTTGGTAATACTTTTTCCAGTTTCATACCACACCTACTGTCTATTTTGAAAATCCAGGAAACATTTTGATGTAAGGTGTTTATGGAAGATTTAAAGGTAATTACTATGTTTCATGTTTAAAAATTTGGAGAGTGAATTTGACTTGGACAGCTGAGCAACAAGAGTACAGGTGGCACAGCGTGGCATGCAGCTCTCAGAGTGGGAACTTCAGGATAGGAAGGAGCTCCCAGATCTTCTAGTCCTGGGAAAACTGGCAACAAAGGGAGTATAACTGAAAAACACGCTTGCAGCTGCAAATTAAAGAATTATTTTTAGGGGGCTGCCACTGTGGTGTAGCAGATAAAGCCACTGCCTGCAGTGCAGGCATTGCATATGGGCACCAGTCCAAGTCCTGACTGTTCCATTTCCAATCCAGCTTTCTGTTGTGGCCTGGAAAAGCAGTAGAAGATGGCCCAGGTCCTTGGGCCCCTGCACCCACATGGGAAGACCCAGAAGAAGCTCCAGGTTCCTAGCTTTAGATCTGCCCAGCTCTGGCCATTATAGCCATTTGGGGAGTGAACCGGCAGATGAAATATTTCTCTCTCTCTCTCTCTCTACCTCTGCCTCTGCCTCTCTATAACTCTTTCAAGTAAAATAAATAAATCTTAAAAAATTATTTTTATATGAGAAATGGATACATTTTCTATCATCTATCTATATATATATATATTTATGAGAGGGAGTGAGCATACTCCCATCTTCTAATTTACCCTGAAAAACCTACAACAGCTGTGGTTGGGCCAGAGCTGAAGCCAAAACCTGAGAGTACAATCCAGGTCTCCACATGGGTGGCAGGAATCCAATTACTTGAGTCATTACTGCTGCCTCCCAGGGTCTGCATTGCCAGGAAGCTGGAGTCAGGAATCAGAATCAGACATTGGATCCAGACACTTTGATTTGGGATGTGGGCATCCTGACTGGATTCTTAACCACTAGGCCAAACATCTGGCCCTCTGTTGGTTGTTAAGTCCCATTTTCTTACTTGAGACCCAATCACTACTACTGAGACTGAACAGAATGACATGTTAGTTGGGCTTTATCTGGGTGAGTGTCAAGGAGGTGGCCAGCTGTTGAAGAAATCTTTGTCAGTGAAACGATTTCTTGTTGAGGTTGCAATGTTCTAGTATCTACTCTGGCTCTTCCTGGCTGTGTAGCTTAGGGGAGTGGAAAGGTGATTGTGTTATGTTGCAAGAGAAAGCTGGCATAGGATTTCAACTCAATGCAAGGAGCTTGTAGTTTCATAGCGCTATCCACTCTTTACTGCAAACTTTAATTAATTCAAGCTCCACTGAAATCTGTGTGATATTATGTCATTTGTTTGTGGTTAATTATTTTGTTTTCTAAACCTGTATTGTTGGGATATCAAATGCATATTTATATGAAATTCTGGCAACAGTTTTTCCTTCACAACTGCCAATCCTGTGTCCCATAAGTCGCTTCTGGTTATTCTTAAGGAAGGCTATAATTTCCTCCAAACAGGGAACTGTCCCTGAGTTTAAAAAGCAACAAGAAAATATAAGTATGACTTTTATTTGAAGGGACAGAAACACATGAGATGGTATCCAGTGACAAAACTGGAAATGTACTTCACATTCCCTGATAGTTGAATGCCAATGTCAGACCTATTAAGAAAACACTTCATACTGCCATCCGTATAAAGAGAATTTATGATTACAAGGCAATCTGGCAAGCTCTAAATTTTCTTTGTATAGTTTTATCTATGCTCAAGATCTCTATGGCGATGAATAATTAAATTTAACAAGTATTTATTGAGCAACTATTATGAGCAAATCAGTGTGTTAGAGTCTCCTGGTTTTAAAAAAAAATACACAACACATAAAATCATGGTATCAAGGAATTATGAACTTAAGAATAGTTCAGGCAAGCAAGTAACCACACAAAAGGAAATAATATGTCATTTGATTCTATGCAAGCATATGAACACTGAAAGGTATTAGTGAAAATATTTTACACAATTTAATTATTAACTTTTTTAAAAAGTTATTTATTTATTTGAAAGGCAGAGTTACAGAGAGAGAGAGAATGAGAGAGAGAGAATGAGAGCGAGAGAGAATTTTCTGTCCTCTGGCTCACTCTCCAAAAGGCTACAACAGCCAGGACTGAGCCACGCCAAAGCTAGGGGTTTCCTCCAGGTATCCCACGTGGGTGTGGGGGCCCAAGCATTTGGGCCATCCTGTGCTGCTTTCCCAGGCACTTTAGCAGGGAGCTGGATTGGAAGCAGAGCAGTCAGGATTCGAACAGGTGCCTATATGGGATGCTGGGACTTTAACTGGCTGAGCCACAGCACTTGCTCCTCACCATTAACTCTTACAGAACAAAGGTTATGTTTCATAAGTATTTGACATAGACTAAATGTCTTGTAAGTTTTTCAGATGACTGACTTTAAATTTACTGGATGCTCATTAACAGCTGTGACACCGAAAAACAGAGGCATTTCTTGTGAATAGTCATATTTGCCTCAATGATGAATTCCTTTAGCCTTTTATTTCCCACATTTAGTGGATTTTTGATAAATTTTTCTTGAATATTATAATGGATTAAATTCCAGGTACAAATATGCTGTCAAACTGAAATTCTTCAAAAATTTTGTTAAGTCTTATATTTTATTTATTTAATTTTAAAAACAGAGAATGAGAGGGAGTGAGAGATTCATCTTCAGGTTCACTCTTTAATGTTCACATACCCTGGAGTGGGCTAGGCCCAAGTTGGGAGCCAGGAACTCAATCCAGGTCTCTCATATGGGTGGCAGTGTTCCAGCAACTTGAGTCATCACCTGCTGTCTACCATAGTGCACATTAACAGGAAGCTGGAATTGGGAGTGGAGCTGGAGCTCTAATTCAGGCACCCCAATAATGTGGATATCCTAGTTACTATGCTAAATGCCTGACCCCAAATTGTAATTCTTGCATCCATGGAATCAGGTGTATGTTCTAGACTTGAAGAAATGGCAAGAGTTGGGTACAAGCACTTGTACCCTAACATTAGACTGAATTTATTTAGATATTCCGGTGCGTTAAGATCCTAAAAAATCAACTTTGCTAGACCTTTGGAACTTAGGATACTTGAGTTACTTTTGTTTTTCCAATTGTTTGGAATTTTTCCCCAGGTAATTTTGTCTTGTCAATAGTTGTAAATGAACCTCTCTGAAGCTATACTAGAAATGCTTATCTCAGTGGGCATTGCAGCTGGGCTTATGAGAGCCTAAAAGAGCTGAGTGAAGTCTGTCAGAATTCAGCTTTAAGGCTGCATGTTATTTGAATGCAAAGACTGAACTACATCTTGTACTTGCATTCACAACAGCATAATTCAATAAATATTCATATTGACTCAAAAGATCAAAGGTAGGGGCACTTGTGTCTGCATATATAGTCTGAAGTGCGATTGCACTTTGTTTCAGTTTTCATTTTAACTTTTTTTTTTTTTTATTTTTACTGCTCAAGTAGCCAGCAGATGTTATGCCTTTGAAGGAATCAGTGTACTGTGTCAGAGAAAGTTTGGAATATATGTAAGTCTATTTTCCTTAAGCCCTATGTCATACCAAGCTAGTGAGAGAAGGAGACAGCACAATGGTGTATTACGGCTTTGAGATCAAATTACAGAATTTAAACCTTAAAATTATTAAAATATATATGAGACTGATTCAGGTTGTGCTTACAGATTGCTAATAAATCACATTTTCCACTCACTGCTCTGATTTTAAGAACCAGCAATTGGAAACTAGAGGCATAAAAGAATAGACTTAGAATAAGTTTCAAAGAATAATCTAGTTCATTTTTCTGCCACTGGCAGATTTTGCCTAAACTCTTCTTTAGAGGGTAGAATCTCTCCTATTTGAAAACACCTACTGGGAAAGAAATTTTAGCATTCTCTATAATACCATTATGATTTGTGGAAACAACTTGTTTTCTTCAAAAATAAATAGTTTTCTCAGATATTTTGTTTCTGGCAATGCCTATTTCAGGAATAATAAATTCTAGTGTAAGTGCCACTTTTAAGAAAGGTTTTAGTAGAATATATTAGATAGAGAGAAATATGTATTCAGTGGTGAAGAAAAGTTTTTTCTTCCAGATCAAGGTTAATTCTAATAAGGAAATAGAAAGTCCATCACTAATGCCTTTGCATTAAAGCTCACTTCCTCTTGAATGAAGCTGAAGGATGTTCTTGCATATCAATGTTGTTCCAAAGACTTTCATTATCTCTGTGGTTTTGTTTATTCAAATATTTTCTCCACATGCAATTTCTTCATGTATAAACTAGATGCAAATGCATGTCTTTTAAGAAGTCTATAAATCTTCTCTTTAATGAAGGTGCCCTTTAGTGCAATGTGCCTATTTGAGGAAATTATTCAAAGATGGATTTGCTTTCAATAGTGTTTTTTATTTTACTTTTGATCAGACTTAGCAAAGTATAGATCAAGAGAAAACCAAATTTTCCTTTTTGATGTAATTCAAGACTCTTCTTCTTCATGGTGTTCAGGGATAACGGAGTGTTCACAACGCAGGTTGACTTAGGTCTAATGCGGAGAAAGGGTTAGCCTGGTGACCCCAGGAAAACTACTTGAGTTAAGCAGAAAAAAGAATTGTTATTGGGTTAGTTGGTTGTGTAATTTAAGCCATTAAACACATAAGCATGGCAATGTGCTGTGACTGAAAAGCAAATAACTCACCCTTGTCAAAAAAACTTAGCTTCTTTTTTTTTCTTTCTAGCTGTGAAATTAACTATCAATTCATATGCAATTCCAGATCAAAAATGGTGGGGTACCAGATGCACTGGTGCATGAGAATGGAAGTAATTGTTTGTGGTTTTCATGAGAAGATTGCCAGTTTGCAGCATTTAAATTACACACAAACTGGTTTTTACATCTCTAATTGTAGCTCTGTTGTTTTCAGGGAGGGTTGAATTGACATTGACAAACATAGACTTAGAAAGAATACAAAGACATGAAAACAGCACTAAATTTGCCCCAAAAAGATTCAATGAATAATGCTGCACTGTTCTATTTATTCCTTGGTATGCCAAAATTTTCTTATTTCCCCTAAGGAGCGATGCTGACTTTGGTAAATTAATGAGAAATAGTAACTGCAGAAGGGTTGAGTAAATCAAGCTCATGAGTTTTGTGAATTATTCTGTGTCTGCCTTTTATTACATTTTAAGAAAGATTTGAATCTGATACAGTCTTTTGATTGTTTCTTTCCTTTAACTCAAAATTTTCCACTTACCTTTAGCATTTAATTGATCTGTACAAGCTTTGACCCATTCAAATCTCACTATGTTAATAATTAGCTCTGGGGAAAAGTGAAAACAGAGTCCCATTAGTAGTATTCTGCTCCTCACTTTTTGCTTGAATCTGACTGCTCTGTACAATAAAGCCATGAACCTCTCAGGCTGAGGAATGAAAACTGGCTTCCTAGAGAATCAAAACCAGGAAAACAAAGAGGTAATTCAGATTTTGAGTTTGTAAAGCCCAATGAATGGGTGGTGCTAATTCTAGTGTACAAATGACTTCAACAAAAAGCACAGCCAAATGCACAATTCAGGACTGGTTTCTTTTGAAAGATATTTTTGATTTTTAAAGGGTCATACTGAGTTAAAAATACAGTTATGAAGACATGCAATAGCTTAGCAAGAGGGAATTCAAGGAACATACATTGGGGAAAGGGCCTTGTTTAAAGGAGAAAACAAATGAAAAAATGTAAGAAAACTGTTCTATATGTGGGCAGTGTTACAAAGAAAACTGCCCGTGTTTTTCTTGGCACTGTATTTTGAAAGTTCATGCAGTGAGAACAATTAGTAGACGCTATTTATGTACATGTTTCCAGAAGTGCTAAGCTCCAGGCACATAGGCAGAGGATTGTGCTGGGGCAAAAATACTTCTTAGATAATAAACTAACAGATAATAAGATCAATGAGGAATTCAAGTAGCACTTTGCAAGGGTGGCTTGTCTTGCTCTATGATATTTTTTGGTTTGTATTATATTCAGAATATTTGCTAAGTGATGAGATCTTAGATGCTCTAACTGTATATACATGAAAAAGATTCTTATGAGAGATTATGATGAGAGATGTGAGAGATAGGTTAATTCACTTATGTATAGTAACCATTTCACAATGTATATCAAAACATTGTGTTGTACACCTTAAATACATACAGTTTAAAGAGTTGAAGCTTGGAATCATCCTTTCCTTACCTTTAAAACTCTATGGAAAGCCAGGAGCCTTTTGCCCCATAATGTTCAGGGGCTCTGAAGGAGCTGATGGCTTGGGGACCCTGACACAGCAGACTAACCCAGTGCTTCTCTAAGAAGCTTGCTATTGGCGGGCGCCACGGCTCACTTGGCTAATCTTCCATCTGCGGTGCTGGCACCCTGGGTTCTACCAACCCCCGGTTGGGGCTCCTGGCTTTGGATCGAGCGTAGCTCCAGGCATAGTGGCCATTTGAGGGGTGAACCAACAGAAGGAAGACCTTTCTCTCTGTCTCTCTCTCTCACTAACTCTTCCTGTCCAAAAAAAAAAAAAAAAAAGAAGCTTGCTACTTTCTGATTTTGTTTTGTTTCCTTGTACTTTCATCCAGTGTGTAGTCTATGGGACCCTGACCATCGAAATATAGAGATGGATTTCTCTGCCCAGCCTCATCCTGCTATTTCACTTCCTTTCCTTGTTGCTTTCATCTAACTACAGTCTTCAAATAATTGAAGTGATGATACCTGAAAGATGGAGTAGGTTTAATTAGTGTTAGACCAAGTGTGGAAATTGTTAAGATGATAAGCATTAGCTCAATAAAAGAGAAACCCTTCTTATGGGTTGTACAATTCAAAATTGGAACAGCCTGCTTTGGGAAGTTTGAGTACTCCCCCGGCACAGGTGCATTCACAGGTGGGAAGACCACCTGTCAGGGACGTTTTATAGGAAAGTGAGTGGGAGGGCAGACAAGGTGACCTATAAAGTTCCTTTCCCTCCTAACACATACTTTATTTTCTTTTATTTTAAAATAAATTCTCAGCTTTTGCTTCTTTGGCTATGGGTCAACAACTTTTCCTGGTTATCAAGGAGTTGTGGGCTGCTGCTGTGCTATATGGTAGCAGAGGTGGCACCAGCAACATAGAATTTCCCTACGAATTACATACACTTCATCATCAGCGTCCCCTTTCTCATGTGTGATGCCAACAGAGACGCCATCATGGACATGGTAATACTTTCGAAGACATTCACACCAGTGTTCTGGAGAATCAAGATTTTCTTTCACTTTGAAAACACATCTACTAGCCTGCCAATCCCACATATGAGTTAGATTAGGTTAGGAGGAATAGTAAATTATGGCACTATAATTTAATTTGGATATTATTCCACTAAGCCATTATAATGGCCTCTCTGGTATACCTGAAAATTCACTCTTTCCAGCCCCAACAGCAGGATTTTACAAGGAAATCTATTTCTCGAACACAGTGATAGTTCTGCTAACCTTAGATTGAAGAGCAGAGCACCTCAAGTTATTTTCTAGTAGATTTTCTCATAGCCCATGTGCTTTCTTGCTATTATTCGGGTCCTGTATTTTATGTGAAGGATTTGGATTGAGTCACCTGAACACTCTTGTCCTAGTCTGTTTGTGGCCATTGTCATGTGTGACAAGAAAATATTTTAAAACATCTGTATCTCCCCACTTTTCCTCTAGTCAGTCACAGGTACCTACTTTGTCTCTGGGAGATACAGAATTGTTTTATTGGACTGGATATAGTAAGGAGCCATTGCTCAGCAATTTTTTTTCTTAACATTCCCAGCCGGCTTTTGGGAATCAAAATGGAAAGCCTGGGGTGGGGGTGGGGGTGGGGAGTAGCAGAACAAAGTGTTTATGTTATTATAGTGATAGATTTGGAAAATTACAAAGAAGTATTCTGTCCTACCCCCACTTCTCCTCTGACATCTAGTAGGAGAACAGATGGTAGGAAGGAGGAGAGATGATTCTGTAAGACCTGATAGAAGGTCTGCAGTGGGGGATTTGGAGAGACTTTTTGGAGGGGAAACAGACCAGCTTAGAAAACTGTCTAGTGTCATTGGTGGGCATCCTGCAGGGTGTGAGAAAAGTAAAAATGCCTTCAGGTCAGCTGTGATTGCTTGGTTACAGATTATGTACCTCCCAGGTGGAAGAATCAGATTAGTTGTAAGTAGCTCTGATTATGAACTTTCCATTAGCTGTGTGACTAGATGACCCTTGTCATTCGTTCATTAGGAGCATGCCTGACTAGATAGGCTCAAGACTGCAGAGTCCCATGTGATTTGTCCCCTGTGAGCACTCCCCTCTAGAGTCTGAGACTTTGTGTGTCCCTGCTTCCCAAATTAGGGGTGAGCTCTCTTCCTACTCAAAGTAGAGGTGATCTGGTGGAGAGTAAGCCCCAGCATCAGCAGTGGATGAAAGTGGAATGTTGTGAAAATCAAATTCACATACAGAATTGTAGGGTATTCAGATGAGATTAGTTTTTACAACTTTGGCTACGAACTATAATTCTGGGGAAAGGATCCCACTGAATGTAGTCACATTAACACCACAGTTTCAACAGTGAAAGTTAGTTAGCTATAGACAGGAAACCAGGGGCCCTTTGCCCTATCTCTGTCCTTATAAAAATGTACCCAATAATATCCAATTGTCCTTTGCTATTCATGTGTTTAAACCACACTATACTTCAACTAACCAAATCCTAAATGATACCAAGTATTTAATATAAGTAAACAAAGTACCACTTGATATCTGTAGGGAAAACAGATACTAACTGATTCTGGAAAAGCAGTAGTAATGGAAAGTATGGGGATTTTCATCAGAGTGATTTTAATCAACAAACAAATAATTTTGTCCACAGTTACTATATTAGTTATCTGTTACTATATGGCAAATCATCAAAAACTCAGTGGGTTGTAAAAATATTTAATCACTTCTTGTCTTAGCTAATAAACTAATGGATAATAAGATCAATGAAGAATTCAAGTACTTTACAGAGATGGCTTGTCTTATTCTATGATATCCAGGACCTCAGGTAGAAGACTCAGCAGTTGGTTGGTTTGTATTATATTCAGAATATTTGCTAAGTGATGAGATCTTGGGTACTCTAACTATATATGCATGAAAAGAATTATGATGAGAGAAGTGAGATAAAGGTTAATTCACTTATGTATAGTAACCATTTAACAATGTATATCAAAATATCATGATGTATACCTTAAATATATCCAATTTAAAGATTTGAAGCATGAAATGATTCTAAGGCTCATTTACCCTCATGTTGGGTGCGTAGTAGATGCTGACTATTGGCTGGTAGCCTACTAGCAGCTGCTAAATGTAACACATCCACATGTGACTTTTCCATGTGGCCTGAACTAACAATGCAGTGGTTGAGTTCCAAGAACAAATATCCATGAATCTAGAGAGTGACAGGGAGATAAAGGCAGAAGACATAGTGACTTTTATGGAATAAGCCTTGAAGTTAAGCAGCATCACTTCTGTTAAATTCAGCTGGGGCCGGCGCCGCGGCTCAATAGGCTAATCCTCCACCTTGCGGCGCCGGCACACCGGGTTCTAGTCCCGGTCGGGGCGCCGGATTCTGTCCCGGTTGCCCCTCTTCCAGGCCAGCTCTCTGCTATGACCAGGGAGTGCAGTGGAGGATGGCCCAGGTGCTTGGGCCCTGCACCCCATGGGAGACCAGGAAAAGCACCTGGCTCCTGGCTCCTGCCATCGGATCAGTGCGGTGCGCCGGCTGCAGCGGCGGCCATTGGAGGGTGAACCAACGGCAAAGGAAGACCTTTCTCTCTCTGTCTCTCTCTCTCACTGTCCAATCTGCCTGTCAAAAATAAAAAAAAAAAAAAAATTCAGCTGGTGAAGGCAGTTAAATTCATTCAGATTCGAAGGGGAAAGAACATAGATTCCAGCCATAGATTGTGGAATCACAGTGTCAGATTGCTAAGGCCTGTGGAATGGGATACTGGTACCACTTTCTGTGAAAAATACTATCTGCTTCCAGGGACTTGTATATACAGAGTACACTAGAGGGAGTGGAGTATTCTAAAAGTGCATAATTTTCAAAGAAAGATAACCATGTACTGAAAACTGTTCAATGTTTTGTAACAAACTTCTTGGCAATTTTGGATAAAGTGACATTCTCTTGAAATAAAGACGGAGACTCCTATCAAAATTGACTTTCAATTTCATGGAGGTGTAATTGATTTGTCTTGGAATGTAATAGAGATATTGCACATTGTCATGATTAATATCTACAATTTAATCTCAGGATGTTTTGTCATATTTTTCTCCTTTTCCTATTTTTCTCACTTAAAATAATGCTTTTTGATATCCGGAATGGGAGAATACCTTCAAATTTTTACTTAAAGGTTTTAGTCTGTAAGTTGAGATTCATATTTTATATGTGCAGTTCAAATGTTTATATGAGGAATAAA